AGGTATATTTTGGTGTGTACAGACAGAGAGCTTCAGCTTCCTTTTGCATAGCTATCAGCAGGCTCTTGCTATTTTCCCTAGACCAGCTTCCCTAGTTTCTTTGCAAAGTGTATATGTCTGCAAGGAGGCACTTTCCAGCTGGAAAGCATTTCTTTATACGTGTAGTACATACTTGGGCTGCTGCTCCTTTTCCTTCCAGCCCCCCAGGCAAACACTCACTAAAGGCCATGCCTACTGACTGTTTAAAAAGTAATACAGACCCATATCTGGGGTGAGTTTCTGCCTCCAGAGAGCCACAACGCTTTAGGGGTCTGGTGACAAAGTCCAAAGAAATAAGATGACCAAACTTGCAATAAAGTTCAAACAACTCCTCCCCAGCATTTATGCTGGGGTTCCAGGCTGTCCCCAGTCATCTGAAGGTACCACCCAATTAACACGTGAGCGACTAACAACAGCTCCAGCTCTCTTGCCCTCAGAGAAGGAGCCTGTTTATTGTCCAACCCCCATTCCCAGTATGCCCTATACACATTCCAGCAGCCCTTCTTAGGACCACTCATCCAAGGCCTCCCTCCAGATGGCTGACAGAGAAGGGAGCTTTGCTGCACCTACACTTCAAGACTCTGGTCCCACACAGACAGATAGTCTTGGACCACAAACTGCCACCTGGGACTACCTCCTCTCTATTAATGGCTGCTTCATTTCCTGGGTCTCTCTGTAATAAACCTCCTGGAATGGATAGCACAGCCCCAGATAACTCCTTCCTCAGTCTTAAAGGGCCAGTACATCACATTATACCCATCCTAGTTTAGTTTGTCATGTTGCTATATCACAGCACGTTCTTCTGGCTCACAATTTTCAGGACACTTTGTTAGTCTTGCAAGACTAGCTTTTTAACTGGGGTTAATCTGCAAAAGAGGGGATGGACGGCAATCCTATAATCCAGCTGTTTGTATCAACGGAAGAGGCACAGCAGCTCAGGAGCTAGGAATGTAAGACTCGAGTCTAGAGATGGAATTGCCCATGAATTCAAAGGTACAGTTGCTTTAAGTTACGCATTTGAACCTGTATTTCTTTAACTGGCCAGTAAAATCAAAACAGTGATCGGACAGCACAGACTCTCTCCACTGCACATAATTCTAAGTAAACTTCTCCCTGGAAATAATTGTTTTGGCTTTTTACAGGCACTGTGCTTCACTGAACTGTCTGCATACACTTTTCAGCCATCACAATTTGTTTAATCTGTTCTATGAGCCATACGAGATAGAGACAAAGCTGTTATAGTTCACTAGTCTGTATGAAGGGTAACTGAAATTTCTATTAGCTAGAAAAACCCAAGCAAAGCATTACGATGCTTAACAGGAAACCCTCTACATGAACTTGAGGCAGGATGTAAAATACAAATGAGACATTCTCTCATAAAGTAACCACTCATTAAAAGGTCCACATTTCTTAACAAGCCAGTGCAAATTACCAGGTACACACAGCTTTCATTTTTAGCACAATCCAGTTTCTGTTGCAATTTAAGTTTGACTCATTCACAGAAAAGGCATGGCCACAATTTTAGTGCAAAATGATAAGTCAGTCATTCTTCTGTGGCTCTGCTGATCTGTGGCTCTCTGCTCCCTAGTGCTAATGCTGCATGCTGATTTGTTGGTTTCATTTCATTCTTCACATTTCTCTCTGATTTAGGGTCAGGAGTTTCTTTGATATCCTTAAGTTTATATTACAAAATTAAATCTGTGGGCACATTTGACCACTTCAAACAGGAGGGGCATTTTTTTTTTTTTAACTCTTCATGTACTTAAGTCCTTCAGAAGGGGTTTTCCCACAAATCCTTACCAGCTTAACTTTCTGCTGTGATTTTATGAGCCTCAATATGCTGTAACAAAGATGCAGCTTAAACACTACTGTGCTCCATTAGTAGCCTTAACATTGCTTCAAAACCAAGGGAAATGATGTCATGTGTAAGGCTGTATCTACATTACAAGCACTACAGTGGCACAGCTGTAGCAACACTGCTGTAGCACTGCAGTACAGACACTTGCTTCAGTGACAAAAGGGGTTTTTCTGTCACTGTAGTAAATCCAACCTCTTGAGAGGTGGTAGCTAGGTCGACAGACAAATTCTTCCGTTGACCTAGTGATGTCTAAACTGGGGCTTAGATCAGCTTAACAACATCTCTCAGGGGCATGAAAAATTCCTGAACGATGTAGCTAGGTCGCCCTAAGATTTAGATGTAGATGAGGCCTAAGTCTGAATCAGAGACCTTACTTCAGTGTGACTTTGCAATTTCTCACTGTAAGTTATACAGTCATTCTAAAAATGTGAATCTGCCCCTGCCCCATCTTCCTCCATCCCTTGGCGTCCCCCCACCTCTTTTTCTAAATATCTGTCTATGGTACCTACATGCTCCCCCCTCCCCCAACCACCCACCCACCCATTACTGAAGCATCTGAGCACCTCACATTCTTTCAATGTAGTTCTCTTCAGCACCCCAAGAGGCAGTAACATAGTATTTATCCACATTGAGCACTGAGGCACAAGACAGACTGATTTGCCGAAAGTCACCCAGGAAGTCTGTAGTGGAGCAGGAAAGTGAACGCAGGTCTCCCAAGTCCCAGGCTAACCACTACACCAGTGAGTCCTGAACTTTTTCATGCCGTGACCTCCTCTGTGCTCATATCTGTTAACGCAACTCCCTGGTACTTAGTATTCAGGCTGGCTTTGCGCAAACAAACACTCCACCTTACACAGTCTACTTGGAAAACTACGGGTGGGTAGCCAGGCCCAGATTAACCACTGTGAGCTTGGTGCACTTACTTACACAGGGGCACCAACTACCAGACTAAACAAAAAGAGGCGGCAATTGAAGGCCCGGGGGCCATATTCAACCTGCCAGATCATTTTATTTGGTCCTCCACCCCGCATGCTGGAATGGGGGGGGAATCCCCACCTTTCCTGATCTCACTGCATTGGTCCTGCATCCACCACATAGAGCTTGGGACCTTCTGCTAGCCATAAAAGGCATGATTCTGCTGCAAGAGCACAATATTGCTCCGGGAGCAGATGGTGTTACCCAGCTGTCTGCTTAAGCTTTCTTGCATTTTCTCCCCTCCCCTCCCCCTAATCTCACAGCCCATCTGGTGACCTCTGCATCATGACCCACAGTTTGGGAACCCCTGCACCAGACCATCCTTCCTCTCTTCAAGTATATCAGTCTCATAAGTCATGCAATGTATTACTAAGATAATTACTGGTGTGCAGTAGCTAACCCCCAGACATTGGAGGAAATATTCTTTATCATTACAACTGATCCGAACACAAAGCCAATCACAACAGAGTTCTATGTTTGCCAAGCCACCTCTTGGTTCAAAATATTACTATTTTCCCTTAGATCATAAAGCCTTTTGCACCTCCTCTTGCAGACAACCATACGTACTGCAACTGCACATCACCTGACCAGAGGCCAGAACAAGTCTTTTGAGAGATGCCAGTACCAAACTACGGACTGGGTGGCTGGAAACATGCAAGGAACAAAGTCCAACTAAACGGTGCTGAGATTAAAGTAATTTAGGGGTTTTGGAACCCTAGTACCTTGAAGTCCAACCACCCTACACTCAGATTGAAGGAGCAGAGAAGTTAGCCTGCTGAGAGGGGAGTGAGAATTGGAGAAACTAGGGACATGCAGGAGTTATGAGTGGATGGGAATGTGAAATGAACCATAGTAGGGCTGGAACATAGGCTTCACTCCTCTCTGGTGGAAGGAAATCTGACACTGCTACTGGTGTTTGAATCAGGACAGAAAGGGGGGGAAAAGGTGATTTAATTCAAAGGAACTCAAAATAGTTAAAATGCAGACATTTAATAATCTTTATTAATGCTGATAATGTATTGTGAATGATATTAAGATCCCAAAATGCTTGCCATACTCTACACAAAATACATTTATCCAAACATCCTGCTTCATCATCAAAATGCAGCCACATCTGTGGCAGGAAGCCAGGATCTTTGAGCAGCATATAACAGGGCAGAAGGGACGTATGCTTTATGAACTGAAAGTACAAATGAATGTTAGGTAGGTTAGAATGAATAATCACTCAATTTTAGCTGGGACCCTAGGTCAACATCTTGGCTCTTGCAAAAAGTGCCAAAAATAATTAATAATCAGTATTTGAAAGATTGCAGTTTCAGTAATACAGTGTTGGCAGCACTGTGACAGGGCACAGATTCAGAAGAAGACTACCTCTGAAAGAATCAAGCTTGTGAGAATTTATCATCAACATTTTAGGTAACTTGTCCAAAGATATTAAACAAAATAGTACATTTCTCTCTCTAAACACATATAAGCTATTTACCTCTACAAAGTACTATTTGTTTTAAGGCCTGGATGATAGGCGTGTCCAGAGTCTAGTAAAACAGTGCAAGAGGAGGTCATTATGCTGCCGCATTGCCTACCAAGGTGACAACAAAGCTACCTCAATTTTCACAAATATTTACCCCATAGTCCCCAAAAAAGCAAAATTGGGGAAAGCAGTTTGATAAGGGGTTCTATTTTACTTTTCCAAGGAGTTACTACTAATGAACTTTAACAATTTTAATGTTACTTTGAAGTAGACAAAATCCTTTGAAGCAATTGGTAAGCTTTTCCTTAAGGTTCAAATATAGTCCATAAAAGTTTGCATCTGCAGACATGGCAGGATCAGAATCATCACTCACAACACTCCCCTCTTCTTTCTTAATACCCTTAGCTGATTATATCTTAGTGTTGGGGAAAAAAATTCCCAACAAAATTTCTGGGAAGTCTAGATTGGAACTAGTTTAAGATATTCCCAGTACTTAGAAAGTATCTTTTTTTGTCTTCAGAGACATAAGATCAACCTTTTTGTTTGTTTATAAACAGAGCAATTCAAGTCTCAATCTATCATCCTGTAGCCTGACCATCAATGTTGTGCCTTTAAATTATCTTCTATTTTGGAAATTAAATCCCTTTGGCTTCTTACCTTGTCACTTGCTTTTTTCCCAGATTTCTTCTTTTTAGGATTATCCTTCCAGAGAGATTCTACAGCTACATATCCTTGCAAACTCCAGTCATACAACCTTGAACCAGTGACCTTTAAAACAAGAGGTTAGAAGATCAATCAGTTTAAGAACCATCTGAGAAGGGTTTATTCTTATTACAATTTAAATGGTTTCATAATCCACCAAGACGCTTAAATGGGACTGCTTTACAAAACATTCATGCTGCTCAAGTATGGAATGTACAGCTTCACTAAAAACAGACCATAAAAAGGATGACAACAAAAAATACCCATACAAATGGTTTACTTTGATACAGTGTTTGGAACAAAAGTATAAAGAGAGATGGATTTTAAAATAACCTTAAGCAATTCTGAAATGTAAGCAATTTAGGGGTTTTGAAACCCTAGTACACTGCATTCTATGCATTTCAGATTTTGAAATTTTAAAATAGATTTTAGTCTTTGTAATACCATCTTAGAAAGATTAGTAATATTTTCCCTATTGATTTTGCCACCATTTGACAATTTTATATTTCACAGCTTTGCTCCGACAACAGGAATCAACATAAGTAGCTCCCTTCTGATTACTTTTGTCTGTCCACCATCACCACAAATGTCAGCAAGATTATGCATAGTTCTCTGAAAAGTATCCGTTAGTAAACTCCTAATGTACAAAGGAACCAGTCAAGCCCACAGTTTTGGCTATATCCCCGAGACCCGCCCCCACTCAGCCTTCTCCCCCTGAAGCCCTGCCTATGACCCACCCCCTAAGGGGCCCTCCTCCCACACCTCTCTCCGCCCCCACCCCCAAGAGCCCCCCTGCCCGCAACTCTCTGCCTCTCAGGGCGTGAGTAGCAGGGGCCATATGGAAACCAACAGAGAAACGCGAGTGAGGGTGGGATGGCCGTGGGGGAAAGGGGCAGAGAAATAAGAGCAGCAGGGGGCCATGTGGGAAGAGCGAGATGCAAGAGCGGGGCCCTGGGGCAGAGCATGGGAGGGGCCATGGCCCGGGCACCCTTTCGGCGGTGGCGCTCCAAAGGCGGCAGGCTGGTGGCACGTCTCCAGAAGGAGGTGCGTCACATCCTGTTTGGGGAGGTTTAGCCTCCCCTGGCCTATTATACCCGCTGCCCCTGTCTTCAGCCAAAGGCTGAAAATGAAAAATGGCCTCATACTGGCCTTCTTTCAGATGGCAAAGAACAAAAGAAATGGACATTCTGCTTGCCTAGACCCCTACTAAATACAATTTTCAGACTGGAAGCTCTTCAGGGCATAGACTGTATCTTATGATGTTTGTACAGCAGCTAGCACAATGGAGTCCCAGCAGTTACCCCCGATCGAATCCTGAACCTGACTGAGGCCTCTAGAGCAGTGTTTCTCAGCCAGGGGCATGCATACGTCTGGGGGTACGCAGAGATCTTCCAAGGGGTACAGCAACTCAGCTAGATATTTGCCTAGTTTTATAACAGGCTACATAAAAAGCACTAGTGAAGTCAGTGCAAACTAAATTTTCATACAGACAGCTTGTTTATACTGCTCTATATACTATACATTGAAATGTAAGTACAATATTTATATTCCAGTTGATTTATATTATATGATAAAAAGAGAAAGTAAGCAATTTTTCAGTAATAGCGTGTGGTGACATTTTTATGTCTGATTTTGTAAGCAGGTCGTTTTTAAATAAGGTGAAACTTGGGGTATGCAAGACAAATCAGACTCCTGAAAGGGGTACAGCAGTCTGGAAAGGTTGAGAGCCACTGCTCTAGACTATATTGTAAATTTTATGCACACACACCACACCACACTTTTGGAGGAGTGTGGATAACAAAATTGTGTGTGTGTTCCATCCAAACTGCAATGAGGAGCAACTTCTTCTCTGTGGAGTACATAAGAAAGACCAGTTCTCCTTTTCTGACTGCTGTCAGATCTGCCATTCAAATCCAAATAGTTAGGATTTTTAGATGCAGGTCAGATCAACAGCTTGTCTGCCTATCTACAAGTTTCTAATGAACCCACCACATATCCTTGAGAGAGGGAAAATAATGCACAACATGCAGGAACCTTCTTCCTGCCTTAAAATCAAGTTGAATTTTCAAATGGTAAGAAGCAGCTGTAGCATTCCATTCTCTCAGTCACCCTTTGCAGGATCCTTCTCAGACCTTCATATTTACAATGCACCATTAACCTTTGCTGTTTAAGCTAAGGGAAGGCTTCTCCATACAACGTACCCCACATCAGTGTGTAGTTAAAGATACACACCTTGTTACCATTTAGAATAGGAAAATGGACTAAAAAGGACCAATAACTGAGCCCAACAGGAAGTCATATCCATACACTGTACTTACAGACAATACAATTATTTTAAAACTAGATTCACTTTGAATACAGAAAAGAATTGTGACAAATAAGTTTTCTAGTCAGACAACTAGATCTGAGATGCAGGCCGTCTTTGGACAAGTTGTCTTAAAAAAAAGAAACACATACTTAGCCTGTTTGGCCACCATGTTAAACTAGTTTAAGTAGGTCAAATTTTAGATATAAACAAGTTGCTAGTTGGCATGCTGCATTGAGAGAAACAAGATTTTTATCTGCATTTGATGGTGGTATCGGGAGTAATAAAAGAAAAAAAAGCAAACACCCAGAGACCTGGCAATGAATGTGCTATACCTCTCCAAAATCCGCACAGGCACTGAAGGTATAAACCTTTGTACTCTTGTCTAGCTTTTGAAATGTTTTCTCCCAAATATTCAGACAAACTAGTAAATAAATAAAAAATAAAAATAAATTAATGGAGCTATCCTATCTCCTAGAACTGGAAGGGACCTTGAAAGGTCATCAAGTCCAGCCCCCTGCCTTCACTAGCAGGACCAAGTACTGATTTTGCCCCAGATCCCTAAGCAGCCCCCTCAAGGATTGAACTCTCAATGCTGGATTTAGCAGGCCAATGCTCAAACCACTGAGCTATCCCTCCCCCTCCCTGTGCTTCAGAACAGTTTATACTTCATTAACAAAATATTCTGCTTCCTCTGAACATAGAATGCTGCAGTTATGTGGGGATCATCATTAGAAAGCTGCAAGAAGTGCAAACTTACCAGAGTAAAAATAAAAAGCACTCCTTTTATCTGTGGTGCCAGTACAAATATAGCTATCAAGACAAGATGAAGGAAAACCAACAACTGTCTGTAGGCAGCAGCTGCTTTTTCCTGGTTATAAAAATTCCTCCAGTACATGCTCTTTAATCTATACACAGCAAAGGGCAACACAATGCAAAAAAGTGTCAACTGTGATAAAGTACTGATTTAATCTCTTATTTTGGGTCTTTGCATTGTTTTTAAGACTGAAGATTTTCAAGCTGCATATGGGCTCAGTCCTGCATTTGTTACAAACCTAAATATCCCAGAGCTCACTATATTTGAGTTAATGGAATTCAATGGAGTTATGAATTATGGAGGACTGCAGAACTGGGCCTTATTTTCACATTTTGAAATTCTTTTTTGTGAGTAAGAAAACTGGGGAAATTTCTATCAGAGAAAAGCACTTACAGCATAAACAAAAACTGCAAGCAACAAACTTAGGGCTTCAGACAGACAGAAACAAAATGTTTCCAAAGCACAGACTACCCATTTAAATTATAACGTCCATCCCTTGTCTATATGCTTATAGCTCCAGGGGTATGTAATTTCTTAAGTGTTAGGTACAGTCCTGTAGATTTAACATTACTGTTTTTCAAAAAACATTAGCTCTGATGGAGCTATGTTCAAGAGCTTTGTCACATTCCAGTTTCTCTCCTTTTACTTGCTGGAGTTGTCACGGCAAGTAAAAGGGAGGAATACAAAATCTCAGACTTTCAACAGAGAGCTTTCAGAAGACAACAGTTTCTCCAGGCCTTCAGAAAAGTATTTCAGTAACTCCAGATTTGGCTTAAACCGAAAGATGACAAAATATAGTTCCTCTTCATTAGCATGCCAAAATACTTCCTAACTTCCACTGAATTCAACATAAAAGAGCAAATATGTTTAACTCCACGGTAATATTTAAATAAACACTGAAAAGTCAGACTGGCAAGTTGTCAGGAGAGGTTCTGAAGAAACTTGAAAGTGGGCGTACGTTCTGCTTAGTGTGTCCCAAATATCTCTGGGCATAGTGCAATACAGTAGACCCACAGAGTTGCAAACACCTCAAGAATGGAGGTTGTTTGTAACTCTGAAATGTTGGTAACTGAACAAAACATTATGGTTGTTCTTTCAAAAGTTTACAACTGAACGTTGACTTAATACAGCTTTGAAACTTTATTATGTAGAAGAAAAATGCGGCTTTCCTCCCCCCCTTTTTTTAGTAGTTTACATTTAACACAGTACTGTACTTGCTGCTTTTGTGTGTGTCTCTCTCTGCTGCTGCCGGATCGTGTACATCCGGTTCCAAATGAGGTGTGTGGTTGATGGGTCAGTTCGTAACTCTGGTGCTCGTAACTCTGAGGTTCTACTGTAGCCCCAAGCACATAAACAACTTTTCCCTTCTTATTGTGTACATAGAAAATTAACTACAGTATTCTATTTCAATACATATCGGTTATCAAGCAGGATTAAGGGTAATGGCTCTCTATCAGTACAGCCTTGTGGGAACCTTAACTGAGAATTTGCTGACTTTTTAGCATTTATATTGTAACCTTTAAACAATGTAGTCAGTTTAGTTTATGGTCAAGGGGATAAATCTTGACAACAGCTGTGAACTGGCAAAGTTTTTTCCTTGGAGGAAGCAGTGAGCATGAATCAAAATGACTAGTATGTGTGCTGTATTATGCAAGTTGAGAAGACTCAATACTGAGAAGGATTATTAAAAATGACTGAAAACTTTTCTATGGTGCAAAGAGGTTGATTTTGGTAGGTTAGTAGCAGATGCTTTTTCCAGATTGAAGCTGAACCAGAGGTAAGTGCAAAATTCAGGTAAGTGTAATAACAGATCTATTTTTTATCTTGGATAGAAAGCAGAACAGCTTTAACACACCAGTGGAAGTTCTGCCAAAGCCACAAATATCAGAACAATCTGCCCAAGTTTGTCTGCTTGGTGCAGGTCAAAGACAGCTGAACAAATAT